CGCGCTTTTTGCCGTCACGTTATCCTCCCGTGCATCCAGTTGGTTCTGTAATTGTGGGCGAAGAGACAATCATTTCGAAAGTGATTCCTACATTGAAAGAGCATCCTATCCTTCAAATCAGTGATTTCTTTGAAGTTGAAATCGGCTTGAGTTCCGTTGTGCAGCCTAGCAAAACTTCTTGGTGTCAAACGGTGTTAAGAATTGGAAGATTACGGAGCTAACGCACCGCGAAATTTTTTCGCCTACACGTTTCAACTGCAGGGTACTTTTACAGCAGGTTGCTTTATTCGGGAAGCCGGATGAATTCGCCAACCAAATTTAGCAGGCATGTGTGTCATCATTTTTCGGGTAGTGACAAGTATGACGACGCAGATAAGCCTATTTAGAGTGCTGAGCACAGGCTACAAGCTTGGTAGGGCTTGGTAGCTGGGTAGGTGCTTGGCCTAACCTTTTGGCTGTGCTGAGAGGTATAGGAGCATCCCATCCCTGAAGAGTTTGGGTGGTGAATGAGACTATAGGGCCCCAGAAAGCTTCTTCAGGAATAGAGACTCGAGAAGCTACGACAACACATCAAAGGCTTCTTATGCCGTACTTTATATTAGGGGCGTTTTGGAAACAGTGGCCGATGTCGAAGGTATCTTGAATGATTGTACTGATTTCCCGCGCTGGAGGAGAATACAATGATTTCAACAGTCTAGTAGGTGTGACTCTGACTGTTTTCGGAGTGTCTAGTTGTGCTGGACTCTGAGCTTTTATTTGGTCCGTCTGAAAACACTCATCTCTCATTGGATTACGCGGGGGCATAAGTATTCGGCGTCTTGCAACAATTAGTTGTTTTTTCGTGGTTTAGGTTTCAACTATGACGGCAGTAATATTTTACTCCTGAATAAATAGCGCCGATTCTGTTTATGGGTGCGTTTACCACGCATTTCCTACACAACCTTGCCTTGAAATGACCACTAACTCGAGGACATCTCAGGTGGTGAAAATCCTGAGTTTGAATGGTAGACAAAGATACACCAGATTTAATTATCTCGAAATCAGCCTTATCGTCTGTGAACATGTCATATTGGCTTAGAAGGTTTGTGAGTGAGAGCAGCAGTGGAGGCTAGCTCAAAAATACAGCATTCAGGTTTGTATAAACTTTGGTTGAGATGGGGATGTTTTTTCCCCAAAGGCTGAGATTGGTTTTCTACTAGCCGTTTTAGAATGAGAAATCAGACGATCTTCGTTCGGGCTTTCGAGATGAAGTCTAAACTCCACACTAGTCTTAGCGATAAGGAGAACCATTTTAGTTCATTTTTATATCAAAACGAGAATCTTGTTTATTTCGGTTGGCATTATTCCCTAGTGGCTTGCATTTGCGGACTTCCTTTCTTCTGCGTTATATTTGTTTGGTTTGGATTTCAGGGATCCTGTCTGTCACTGTTGTAACTCCCGCATCATTCTGGCTTCTTATCACTCCCAGATTTTCTTGCCCACTGGACACTCCAGAGTCCATATTTAAATGATGTACTGGAACGCATCGATTCACACGGATTCCGAGGGTTGAAATAATTCAGAGGTTCCTAGCGTAGTTGAGGAGCTGGGCTATTTCCATTCCCAAGCCTGCAGGCTCCACTTATGAAGCACTCTTAGAATACTGGCTCTTAAAATGTCTCTAACGTCAATCGAATTCGCCGGGTTACCCACCACGACCCCTTAATATTCTACATGTATGGTCTACTTCAACTGTGATAATTTAGAAAAAATTTAGAGCCAAATAAACCACCGCTGGAATATTGTTGATCAATTACTTCTAATGTTGACATCGGCACACCGGTCGCTGAGCTGCCCCTGGATTTCTACGGTTCGATGATCTTTGAGTTTTCGAAACGGCTGTGGCGAAAAGTGTATATGCACAACTTCACTTAGTACTGAACATGTATGGCTAGCGATATATATATTCCCTGTGAAGTATACAATGCTGAAAACTGAACGCATTAGTTAAGGCAAAATCTAATTTCTTTAAAAAATGACCAAGAGTGAACAGGAAGCGGAGTGCGATACGATACGCAACAGTGAACCCAGTAGCTACTCTAATGTAACCTACATTTCTTCATAACCCAACTGGGCTCACGACTTAACACCTATTTCCCAAAATTCGTCCTTTAAAATAATCTCTCTACTCCGAAGAGATAAAAGAACTGTCTATCGGTGCATTTTCATAGTATGTAACATGTTTTATCATTTGTCCTTTTGTTATCAGTACTTACATGCAAGTACTCTGCACCAACATATTGCTTCGGTAGCCCCGATACAGTATTAATCAACAGGCAACGCCATGATCATCCCCCCTTCGTGACCAGATAAAGGGTGGTTACCGTCTTAGAAAAAACCATGAATTTCACTTAAATGTTTATAACTTCATCAAACGCTTATACATAGCTATATAATAAGTGAATACCTGGTCCAAAATCCTCTAATCTCTCTATTTCGTAGTGATATCTTGGGCTTCACACTAATTTTCATTACTGTCGCGCTCACCTTCATATTCTTCCACCTAAGCTTACCTCTAAACGGTTGGTTCTGGATACTTCCTGGAGCAAGTTTTGCAGTCAGTACAAAGAACTCACCCAGATGTATCATGGTTGATCTACTCCTGCGTACTTTTGTGCCCCTGTCTCGAATTTTGCCTGCTGCTAGCTTTTGTTGTTCACTTTTCAGGTTTACCTAACCAGCCCTGCATTCAAATGGAATCCTAGAAATTACATTTGTGAGTGTGCACCATGCCATCAAAACCTTATGGCGAACGCGCACACCTCAAGGTCATGAATGTGATGCGGCCTCACCTTCAAGAATATCGGAAGATTCAAACAATAACCGAATAATCCCGAAATTCGAACTGAGCCTGCTTCAACGCACCTCCTATATGTCATAAATAACGGTATCTAATGTATAGCTTAACATTGCGCATAATGGTCATTTCTCATTACTAAAATGATCAAACCTGTAAACTGGTTTGTATTCACGTAACCTCTGTCGTATGAAATATATTATTATTATTATTATTATTATTATTATAAGGCCTCGAGTGTGGATGCTGCCATTTGAGAGGTTGGAAAGACCACTTTGATAAGTCATGGTCTGGGGTCATCGTCTTTTTTGGGCATGCATGAGACGCCTCGGGTGATTACTTCCTCCAAGTTCATAGTTTTTCCAGGGAAATTCCACTCGCGGGGGTCGTGAATATCCTCGATGCCTGGGTTCTCTGGTATGCCTTGCATTATTAGGTTTCTTCCTCTGGAGTAGGCGTCACGGTTGTCACCCGACTGATTTTCTGGGGCTTTTCTCGCAGAAGGTGGGATGTCCGGCAGTATCCTTACTTCCGCTTCAGCTTTTAACACGTGAGATGCCAAGAGTACATCCTCAACATCTTTTGGGCTGGAGAATGTGAACCTTAAAAGACGGGGTTTGCCCTTGGTTATTGGGTCCTGACCGCGAGAGAGCCTAATTGCAGCTACTGGTTTTATGTGGTCCAGCTTGAGTTTTCTGCATACATTCTCCCAAGGAACCCTATCATTCCTCTCCTGAAGGTTATATGGGAGTTCAGGGCTGTCTGTCAGGTTCATGACGATCAAGGAATCATTCCGGACATTGGTATGTCCTGTCAGCTGTTGACGCTCAGTCGTCTTTTGTTGAGTTTTCATCTTTTCTCCAGCTTTGCCCCCCTTCGTGGGCAACACGTGTGCTTGTTCGGCAAGCTGGTTAGTGATTCGCATGGCCCGATGTCCATTCCACTTTCCCGAGGACCCATGTTTTACCTCCCTGATTTCCAGGTCACCTAACTTGGGTTTGTTCCCTGGGGTTCTCACCTTCCCGGAACCGATGGGCTTGACTGGAGTCGAAACTCCCCCGTTATTACTTCGTACAATGGTCACCCATTTTCCCTCTTGACTATCCTTGTTTGGTATAACCGTTTTACTTTGCGCCTCATCTGTCGACGACAAAATCCGAGTGAAGGACTGTAGGCCAGTTGATGTTATTGCACTACTGAGGTGCACCATGTCCTCCGACAGACGAGACCCTTGCTCTTGTCGAGTGGCCTGAGCACTTTTTCAACCAGATGATTTTTTAGCCCCATAACCTTCGTGCCTAGGCACTACTTTTGAGTTTTCCAGCTTCTCCTTTTTACGATCTACTTTCAGTCTGCTTTTTAATCCCGATAACATGCTGATGTTTTCAAGAACATCATCAAGTGCAGTTCTACACAGGCGACAATGCCACTTGTGGCCGGACTCACTGAGTTTGGTGCACTCAGTTTGCATTAGGTCAGTGCAAGCGCTATGGAACCATCCGTCGCACGTATCACATTGCATACCCACCTGAACAGGTTGACGACAGCTCTGCCTCTTGCACATCTGTTTGGCCACCATTTTCTTTGAAGGCATAAATAGGGTATGTATTCAGAAAAGACTGAAAACATAAACCCTAGAGAAGCTTGAAAAAGAGTAGTAACCCAAACGTTACCAGATCAAACTAAAACTGGTACAGAAGTAAGGCCTCGTTATCCTAGTATGAGCAAAGTTGTACGTAAAGAAGGGTAAACTTATCTAACTGGAAGCTCGAGAGTATACTCTTACTGAAAACGGGAGCTATCGTTGCGTTAGACACAACAAAAGCTAAATCACAGTAAGATTACACTTCCTTTCAAAAACAGCACCAACGTCCAATGTCAAATATACTATTCCATCCGACTACGCTATCGTGCTTGTCCTTGTTCTCGTAATCGTGAGTATATAACAAGTCCGAAAAATTAGTGATTGGTCTTTGCATCTGTCAAGTTTCGCAGCAGGACAAATCCTAAAGAAGCCAACTGTATCACAGTCCAATGCAAACAAACCAACACTTCCTGGCTGGATCTGCTGCATCGGAATCCTCTAAAGACCTGGAAACGTTCCGCTAGACCAGTAAGCGAGCAAGAAGAAATCAACTGATTTACACAAGCTCGTTAAAAAGATATTGGATATTGCAAATGTGGTGAAGTCAGATGTGGGACGCGCGGAAATAGGTTCTGACGCGTTACACCAATATGGTTCACATGACTGGTTGGCCGAAGGGTTCGGCCGAAAAGTTCCTTCATTCTACGCCTGTCGCTAAGACGATCACATTGTGAGTTACTTTTAAATTATAAAGTGTATCACCCTGATTTAAATTTCCAGGAGAATACTTTTTCCGGTTCGAGATGTAACCCTAAAGGCTCACTCGAAAAACTTCGTTAATAGCCCATTATTTTTTGGTTGGTACTCAGAGTTTCCCGTTATTTCTGGTGATACCCCGCCTTGTGGGGCCTATTTCGGTTTTGAAAACTCCACCACGAAATGTCTTGCACTGCATATTAATTAAATAGTACTTTGGAGGCGCATTCCTAAAAGCAAAAATCAATCGTGATAGACGAATAAAGTAGAAATGTGTTCATATTTACTTTTTGAAAGATGCCATACTGCCTCTACAGTCATTCAGAGAGTCTTTATGCCTTTAAAATGCGGCTCAATCTTAACCAGTACTATTCAAGTACGGTGTACGGCAAAACATTTTCACAGAAGCTTTATGTGGTCAGTCAATAGTATTCTTTATATTTACTTCTTCTAACTCTAAGTAATGTTAATATTTAGTTGGGCAGCAGAGTAAATTTATTCTTTAACTCGAGATGCATGGATGAATTCCAGTTTTGTGGTCGTGGGTTGAAATTTGAGCTAAAACATTTAAATTTTAATGCAGCTGTTGTCTTTTTATGCGGTTTATATCCACCCTTTTCCCCAGATATCTGGAGGACAGTAAGTCTTCGTTCAAGGAAGTCTGCATAAGTGTATTCACTTTTCGTACTACTATCATATGATTCCCATTCTGTACAGTCTTGACACTCTTTTAGCATATTGTCTTTTCGTATGGGAATTACTAATCGATCAAGTGGGATATTCAAGGTCAAGCGGCAGAAGGAGATAAGTAAGCAGCTCGTATTAGTCTTGCAAATAAAGTAGTTGGAAACAAGTTTGTCTGAAAATGAAGCTGCTGTCACTTATGGTAAGTAGTAATACTGCGACTTAACCCCGTACGATTTTGTATACTGGACTATAAGCCCCACATAACGTATGTACTCACACTACTACCATCTGGCCCAGGCTGAAGTAGTTGGACTGGGATTTAATTCTGTAACTGGTTAAAGGTAGAGTATATAGGCCAGTGAACCTTATAGTCGCTTATTGGGACAAAGCTGAAAGCGTTGACAGCTGTTTCAAGTCAGTAGCTTTGGGTAAATAATTAGTTCTAAGTCTATGAACTCTTTGTTGGCCTTGTCCAGAGTTTTTTCCTTTTGGTAAAATAGAAAACGGTCGATACATAAGTCTTCATGAAAGAATTGAAATGTGATGAAATCATACTGTGACTTTGATAAGTAATTTGACTAAGTCTTAGCAATCTAGGCACTTAACTTACGTTCATAAAATAATTCGTCAAAACCAATTGTTTAACCTTGGTTGCAGTTCTAATTGTTGAGATATCCATTCCAGATACTGAAACTCACTATGATACTTGTACTGTTTAAGAAGTAAAGAAAACATGAGAGTGAGTGGTTCAAGCAGGCTGTGGACATCACTGTTCTATGCTAATTTAAATTGAACCAACCAGGGAGTCGTTTTTGGGCTACATTTAGCCAGTTTCTTCAGAAATGTTTAACTAAAAACGGTAAAATGTAAATGAAAGTAAACGCTCACTGAGTGCTGCAACTGACTTCCAAGAAAAAGTTAAAAGATTAGGAATAATTAATGCAAGGATGTTACCCTTTAATGTTACTTTTCTCTTCATTTCATTGGATTAAATTCCTTAGACTGTGCGAAACACTTTCAAACTTGATAGCCATCCGGTCTGTGCCTCATAACCTGCTTACAGTTCAATAGGAAATTTTACCTACAAATGTAAGCGAGATTTATGGATTGTTAATATCGGGATTGCTCGCTCAAGCAGTGATACAGCGGTTGAAATATATAGTCATCCATCTTATCAAAGCAAATTTCAGATTTGTTACGCTGACGACACGTTCGTAATTCTGAAAGAGAATGGAATAAAAAAGCAAGTCCAAACTAATCAACTAAACAGTTGAAGGAATTCAATTCATAAACGAGGATGAAACTAACAACAAGGCTCAGTTCTTAGATACCATCATCAACAGAACACACGATGGGAATTTACAAGCTCAAGTGAATAAGAGAACCTCATACTAATCAGGTGTTAAACGAGAACAGTAGTCATCTTACAGTTCGCAAGAAATATATCCGGACATTTCTCAAGAGACAGGACACTGCAGCACTGATGTACCACGAAAAGCAGCAGAAAAATACCTGTTCGAAGCCAATGGTTAGATATTACACTTTGTTAGCAAGTGTTGATTAGTCGAACGAAGAACAGTGCAATTACCTTAAATCAACAAGCGCATTACTTGATCCTACATCAAGATTGTCTTCCAAAGCTAACAACTGAGTGTTTCGTCGGTTCGGGAATACAGTAGCACACAAACCAGTAAAATCACTACACAGCATCTTATCCAAGTCAAAAACAGGACAGAGCAAATATAACCTAAAGAATCGACTTCAAAGACTATTTACAACACTACGCTGGCTAGTCTAGCTGTTGCGTCGCTCAAGGAACTCACGAATACCAACTAGAAGTAAAATGATATGGCAACCTCCCTGATTTCAACGTACACAGAAAATCAGTACAAATTCGACTAGGAGAATGTAGAAATCCTCCAGAGAGAGAATTCAAAAGCATCAAGAGAATTTCTGGAAGCATAGTGTATCACCGAAAAGTAAATCAACGCACACGTAAATGTAAACTTAACCGATTTTCAGCCATGTCACGGAGAGTCCTCAACCACTGATTGCTACCGTCTCACAGACCAACCAGGTAGTCTACATATCCCAATATGGCTCAGATCGACAGTAAGAAACTTCATTTACTAGTGCTAGGTCTTGGGTTGACCACTTTAAACCCTCTTTCAACCAAATCCAACCTCCCCTAACACGGCATGTCGAAGTAGGTAGTGGCTTGGCATACGCAGTACGTGTCCAAGCCATCTAAGTCGGTGAAGATTCACAGTCTCACCAGTCAACTTGTCTTTCTTGCGTAATACCCTTCGTCTGACCTCAACATTGCTCACGCGGGGATTTCATCAAACCCAGGCAATGCTACGAAAATACCTGTGATCAAAAACCTGTAACGGTCATCTCTCACTCGCTGTCGTGTAACGACAGAATGGACTGTAACGCAGTATGCTCGTCTTTTAATAAGTAGTTGGATATCCCAACAGTCAGTGCCACGGATGACGCAAGTTGGCGAATGCCAAAAGGGCTTTCTGTATCCGAACTGAAATTCCGTCAGCAACCAACCCGTTCAAGCTGATGTATCTCCCTTACAGAAGTAGCCGATATATTCCACCACTTCACCCTCTATCAATAAAGTGGGAGTGTTTGCATCAAACCAATCCTGGAGCCTCATCTTACATTTGACAGGTGCCAGCAAAACGCATGTCAAACATACTCAGATTTCTACTCAACGCGTTCCAAGACCCTGCATTTTGTCACCGTCTTCACCCAACAGGACAATATTGTGTGCGTACTCCAAGTCAACTAGATGACCTCCAAAAAGTAGGTCAATTCCAGTGATGTCAGACATACATCAGATTATATCTACTAGTGCATCTATGATGAAGTTAAACTGGAACAATGACAGTGGACATCTCTGGTGGATACCACTAGTTGTCGTCAGTTCTGATGACAACTCATCATAAGCCATTGCACGGCTGTGTGGGTTCGAGCAGGAAGCTTTGATATATACTTGCTCGATACTCTTTTTACACAGCAACACATCCACAACGCCTCACCGTAAACAGAGTTAAATATTCCCTTCGGGTCAAAAAATATGACAAGTGTTGGCCGTTGGACTGTGTTCCAGAACCTGTTGAAGGGTGAAAATATGATCCATTCACCCTCGCTCAGGTCTTTCCGAAACCTGCCTGGTTTTCTCAAGTTCTGTTATCGAGCTCTAGTAAGGTGTCGGATAGTTATGAACCCTAGGATCTTACACATAATATTAGTCGAACTAATCCCCATATGTTTGTCACAGGAAGACGTGTCTCCCTTCTTATAAACTAGGATGACCAGTGAAGTAAACTAGTCTGGTCGGATTACTTGTGGTCACCATTCTCTGCCTAGTACCTCTGTCACTTCACGCAACTATTTCTTACCTCCCTCTTTGAAACTTCAGGTGATAAACTGTGAAGTCAAGTTCGATATGGCTTTCTAAACTTCAAGGAGGCTTAGGTGACCGACATTTACGTGCTATTCAAGTCCAGGCTGGATGCTGGACAGGTGAGGCGTTGCTGAAAGCCAGCTGAGTTGGTCTTTGAAGTGTTCCACTCAACGTCCCAGCCGCCTCTACTGAGTCGCTGTGAGCGTTCCATACTTTTGGGTGACGGTCCCACTCACCATCGTCTCCTTCTTGCCGGTATCCTTAGAAGCCAAAATAGTTGCATCTCTTTCGCTTTTACCACCAAACACTGCTCGTGATAGGCAGGAAGAATCTTGGTAAACTAACGTTTAAGTTGCTTTCGCTCTTCATTGTGGTCAGAGCTAGCTGGAATCGGTCTTATCGCATCAATCAGTTCTGATGACGTTGAAAATGACCTATAACGTTTGCGAACTTTCAGGTGTACGTTACCAACTGTTTTCCGCTATTTCTACGGCAGACTATATCACTCCAGGTTTACACGGGATAAGCGTTGCTGTCATGTGCAAATAAATGCTTAGCTAACTCTTCGGTAAATACCTACTTGGCGTCCTCATTTTCTAATCAGTCATAGACAAGCTCCCCTGCGTCTGTTTCCCGCTACCAGTAAGGGACGGGCATGCATGCAACGTGTTATCGGAGTCCACACCGGTATTCCTGGAAGAGCGGTAATCCTCTACCGATCCTCTCCGACAATGGCCTATAACAGTGTGATCTGTCTGTGTCCATCGTTGGTTTGATGTCCGCGGATGCCACATGAGACTGTATCTCTCCTTATACCTTAAGTTTGTGTTGGCCGCAAACAAGTGATTGCGAGAAGAAAATTGCAACAGATGATCACCGTCGTCGGTTCGTTGGCACGGGATTCCATAACTACCCCCAATATGACTTATCGACTGGCTCAACTTCTCTACTTGAGCGTTAGTCACTTGCCATTATCGGTGAATCTGAAGGTTTCGCTTTCTGTGGAAAATTTTACAGCTCACAGAATTCATCCTTTGCATCATCCAAACTGCAGTCGGTGGGCGCGTAGGTGGAGAATAGGCATCGCCTAGTCTCACGATCCTTCTTAGTCTTTACAGATCTATTCAGTTAAACAGCACATAGGTGGATGTTGACTAGTATCCAGTCGAGAAGCGCACTTTCTGCTGTACAACTCAATGCTGCATCTACATCAGGGAGTCCGTGAGGGCTGGCCATAGGGTCTCGGGATATTTTTAAGGTGAATTTTGAAGATTCACTGCAGTGACTAAATGAGATCAACTTACTAAACACACTTGGGTCCTGTATACCTGTCTCAGAGACACAGCATACACCCATAGCTTGAGATTTCAGAGTTCTGGTGAGCGATGGTTGCTGTCTCGTTTGGGATAGAGTTCGGATGTTAAATCGAGTAGGAATCCACTCAGCAGCCGTATGGAGATTCATGCAGTAGGCAATGAGCCACACCCATCGTGTGAGAGCTAATGATACTACCTGACCTGCCTAAACCGCGGTGGATGGAGATGGATTTTAACTCGCAACCCTTTGGTTGAAAGTCATCTCCCTAGACCAATGAGCCGCAGCTTCACTTGGATGCTGAAACCTCTACTAGATTCATTTGAAGCACCCGAGGTCGTTTCAAGTCAGAATACAATCTTGATTTCTGATAATGATGATGAAATATATCACAACACTCAACCTACAATTGATTAAGGGTAAGAATGACACATTCAGTTCTCGTGTTTGTAGTTCCCAAGTTCTAATTAGATATCTGCTAATTATAGTACCTGGAACCTTAGACACTATTCGTCAGGGTGATTCTCCTGTGAGTATCACAAGAGGATTTCTTGCATTTCTTGAAGACTCGAAAAATTTGTGATTCAGACTAGTGAGAGGGGATCAGTTTGAATCTCATACACTAGGTACCACTTCAGTTAACCTGATTAATAATCCGCAACCGTCATCCTTAAACACCTCCGGTACTAGCCCATCCAGCCCTGGTGCTTCTCGTTGTTTCAGGCCACTCAACTTTCTTGACTTCTCCGAGTGTTGGAGACCCTATCTCAATGTTGCATTCAGAATCCAAATGGATAGCGGGCATCAAGATAGTAAATGAAAGGTAGTGTTCCACGCATCGTTCCATTCGACTCCCACTGACTTCAGTTCGAGTGATAAAAATGATGAATTCTACCAAAACTTGTCAATTTTGCTACAGAAAACAAAACGCTCAAATGTAGTTGTAATAGCGGGTGACTTCAGTGCTCAAGTAGGGCAGCTAAGCCAATTAGAAAGTCATCTTGGTGTTTACCGGATCTCATGCTAACGACCTGACAACGGTGATTGTCTATTGATATTTTATTCTGACAGTCACTTGTTTCTAACCGGCGCTATATCCTAGCATATGGAGAGCCACTTTCTCACTGGGCGTCCATCGAGATCGTACGGACGATGAACACAAATTGATTTTGTCACTGTAAGTTATCGTTGGGAGATTGCTGTCTCTTCTGGATAACCTACTTGGGCTCAAATTACACATTAATATGGACAAGTGCATGTTTATGCCCTGCTAGGCGCGAAAAAAGCAGTACAGCGCCTCTGTGTTTGACTGGAAGATGAAAACCTCAGGTGTATATTCTGGTAAGAGATATTTAAGCACGTATTGGACTTGGCAGCAGTTCTGATGCTGGTGAAGTCTGCTGTAGAGACGGCGGTAACGGCGATTAGTAACATACATCTAAATGTTAGCAAAAGCCAAGGGATTTCCACAATCTCATCTGAACTGTTTGGTGGGACAAGAATCATTCCAGCTGGCTTGGCATTTATCGACTTGCTTCATCTCTGGCGTCGGCGACATACCTGGGTATATTGCACTGCAATTCGCACCGTCGCATTATATGGCTGTGGGACATGGCATGGTCTTTGGAAACGGACGATATGAAGGGAGTACTGGTTTTCGACTATAAGTGTCTTTGTAGAATTGTTCGTGTATGATAAATTTACTGTATATATATATATATATATATATATATATATATATATATATATATATATATATATATATATGCGTGTGTGTGTGGTAAGCATGGAAAGCAAGTGAGTTGGTGAGGTTGTGGACCTTCACTGACTAAGATGGCTTAACCATGCGGAGCCTTCGCCTGCCTCGAGGTGCAATGTTAGTTGAAGTAGGATTCAGTTAAAAGAAAGGTGAGAATGGCCAAATAAAAACGGCACCAGTCCATGAAGTTTGACTCTTGATCCGAGTCATGCACCATCACTATCAACACAAGCATTACTGCGTAACGGTCCGAGTTGCCACACCTGATATCACTACATCAAGTAAAAGACAGTGAAGTGGAAGATGAAGATAAGAAAAGAGAAAAGCGAAGGATGAGAAAGTGGTGAGATTCGGTATAGTGTCGTTAAGATAAGGATGTGTCTGGGAATACATCTGTGCCACTGACATCAGTTTTGAGCCATATGATCACCTAGAGTCAGACTCCAACCACTGGTTCCTCTTGTCCTGCAGACCTCAACCGACTAGTCTGCATCGCCCCACATGGCTCAAACCAACAGTCAAACACTTCATACATTGATTCCATGTTTTAGTCTGGCCGAGAGCCAAGAGCCTTTTTCCAGGCTGGGCCTACTTTGGCCAACATCGTATGACGAGGCAATCGGTGACCAGGCATACTTAACACGTATCCCAACCATCTCATTCGATGAAGGTTCACTACCGTGTCAACTGACTAACCCCTACTCCCTCCCTAAAACTCTACACCTGACTTCAGGGTTACTCATGTGGTGACACCACGGAATACGGCCTATACTACGAAGGCGACGGTGGTCAAACACCTGAAGCCAGTCTTCTTATGTCTTCCACCTTGAATGGCCATGTTTCACAGCCATAGAGTAGAACAGAGTGGACTGCTGTGCAGGTGCAGTACATGCGACCCTTAATAGACGATCGGATATTATGGGAGTGTCACAGGTGGAGTAATTTGCCAAAAGCCAGTTGAGCCGTTTGTATCCGTGGAGAGATTTCATCGGTCAGTGAGCCAGCAGGGGAGGGCTGATCCTATTTTCGAGGTAAGTGAAGTGGTTGACACCCTCAATCACTACACTGTGTATTGTTAGCCGCAGTTGAGCCCGTTGAAGACCAATCGTGGAGCAACCATTTTGATTTGGGTGGTGAGAAACATATCCCAAACATTCTCAAATTGGCACTCAAAGTGTTCAGAAGACTCTGCATCTTGTCAGCGTTTTCACCTAACAGGACAATGTCATCTGTATATTCTATGTCTAACGAAAATTCTCCTGTGATTAGGTCAACGTCTGTGTAGTCAGATGACGAGAGGGAAACCTTCATAAGAGTATCTATAATAAAAGTCATGCAAAGATATGTAGACTGTCTGGTTGGAAACTATTTGTCATGTGGCCGAAAGTCAGTCACACTGGTGCAGATTTGTTTATGCCTTCGAAAATTTGAACATTTTCACCAACCTTCGTCTATTTCTTTTTTCTATCCTTGTACACTTTTGTCTTCTTTAACATCACTCTTTTTCTATCCACTTGTTCTATTTGTGACAGCTTGAAGCAATGCACTTCTATGCCAGATTCTACGTTGATTTGTCTGTCCGTCTATCTATCAGACACAATCAACACAGGGGAAAAGTAGAAAAATTTTACCATATCAGTTACGCATAAGTAATGTAGTTAAAAACATTGGGGTAGTGGCACATTCCTTTATGAACTTAGCTTGGATGGATTTAGAGCATTCAGTATAGTTATGAGACAGGCATATATCTTACTTAATGGTCGTATAAAGATGAAAACTTAAAAAAAGATTAGTAATTTTAGTATTTGTACTGGGTTCTGATTGAAGGTGAGATAAAAGTTTGGACTGCGGCCGGATTCGAACCAGTAACCACCGGGTATCCTGCCCGATGCTCTATCAACTGAGCTACGAGGTACAGCATCGGGTTGGAAACCCGATGGTCGCTGGTTGGAGTCCGGCTGCCGTTCAGACTTTCATGTCACCTTCAATCATCATCTAGTATAAAATACTAGTCCACCAAACTACGGCTATCTCAGTCAAATGATAACTTTAATACTCTCATGAAGTAAGTACATAACTTTTGAACTACGTTACTTAGGCTAACATCCCGTGTATCCTATGGTTGAATCCATGTTAAGATATTGGTTTAAACATAAACGTTTTTATTCAACTTCACAAAATCTCTTTTTTGGTACAGCACTAACACTATATATAAAATCAGTACTTTAATTCGGTTCAAGTATATTGAACTGAAAGTTAGCGTATCAAGGATGTTAAATTCCACACTTTTAATTTGTCTTTAGATATCCCTTAAAAAGTTACAGTTTTGGAACAAAAGAACCTAATTATGAACGAGATCGAAGTGTTCCTGCTCGATTTCAACGTTTGCAAGAAGATTTTGAAAAGTATGGTATGCGTCGTTCAGTTGAAGGCATCTTACTTGTACATGAGCATAATTTACCTCATGTTTTATTGCTTCAACTTGGTACATTTTTCAAGCTTCCTGGAGGTGAACTTCATCCAGGTGAAGAAGAAATTGAGGGATTAAAGCGATTGTTATCTGAGGTTTGTTGAGTATATTAATCAATGAGTTATTGTGTAAGCGCATTCTTGAGTTATCTTAAGGACCGCTGGCGCTTGATTCCTGCAAAGTTAGAACGTCTTCTTTTTCATTTGTAATATGTAATTGGACTCGTTAGCATATTCTTGAGATGAAACTCACCATTAGATATTGTAGTCGTTAAAATATGACTCAGGTAATGCGCGTGAACACCATAACGGTAAGCCATAATTGTGCTTTAAGTCACTCTCCCTTTCTATGTGATACATTTGTACCTCACAAGTCTTGGGATTCGATTACAAAAACTTGGGTAACCTCACTCTGCGTGCGGGTGGCTGACATCTTCCGGCTGCTCACACCGTGGAAGGCTATATCTTCTTAAGGTACCTGAAAGAGAACGATTTTTGTAACCTCAGAGCCTGTGGGAGATATACTTGACGCCCTGTTACATAGTCTTTCGTGAGTTGTTTTGGGTTTGGTTATTCTAACGGCAAATAGGCACCGGAAGACCGTGGGGCACGGTGCTATCGGGAAGACAGAATTAGCGTGTCACTGTTGTCACTCTCCATCCTAGTGTGGTAATTCACACTATGACGGTAACTGCTCTTCATTTTACCACTATCCAACAGATCTTTGTGGCATGGTAGGACCTCGAGGGGACAATCATCCACCAGAATAGCTCCTTGGGTCATTGTGATATGCCAGCACGACGACCATCACGTCATGGTAGAAGCTATCGGTCGATAGCTGCTTCTTTCGCCAGCATATTGCATCCCTTTAAATCCTATTGTGTAGTTGCCTTTGGTCAGCTAATTGAGTAATTTCTTGGTAGTGAATTATTTCTATGTGGTAAACGTGTTATTCTTGGTTATATTGTGTTCTCTGGGCTGAGTTGTTTAATCGTGGAGCTTTCATTGTCTTTCTAGACGACATCATCAGCACTAACTTCAGCAAGAAGTGAGGTGTCAGTATCTCTCCGTGAGTGATTTAGTAGTTTGCCCTGATGAAACGGTTTGTGATTGGTTGTTTCCTTTTATTGTTGTATCATTGACTAACTGCATAGATTTTCCTGTTGGCCGTTCCTCTGCTTGACCTCTAACCTTCCTATCATTTATCACTTTTCTCATTACTGGATAGATTATGTCTATACATCCATTTATTGATTGCTGACTGACATGAATGCCAAGCTTCTAGGAATTCTCTGATATTCTTTATGTTTCCTCTCTCCGTCCAAGGTTTCTACATTGTCGAAATTGAATTCATGTCCATAGTTATCCACGTGCATTGAAATGAGTGATAAAATGTCGTGGCGTTCGTGTAGACAAAGGCGAAGAGGCCGATCACTTTGTCCAGTGTAGTGTTGACTACAGTTGTTGCAGTTGATTTTGTAAATGATATTCGGTTTGTCTTGTTTGATTGTTGCATCCTTTGGTCTGCATAATAGTATTTGGAGGGAATTTGTTGGTTTATGAGCCACACCAATTCCACCTAGTGGTCTCAGTAATCTTGTCGTGATTCCTGATACATTCTTTATGTAAAGGTAGAATGGTGCGTTTGTTGATTTCTGTCGATGACTTTGTAATTCATGATGTAAGGGATAGGCATCTTCTGGTAAATTTTTGTGGGTAGCCGTTCTTCTTTAGGGTAGACATCAAGTAATTTTCTTCGTTTCTCCCTGAAGTTGTTGTACTGTAGTGTGTTCTCTCTCTTCTGAATAGAGTCTGCGCGCAACTGACGTTGTGGACTGTTGGGTTGTTGCTACTGTAGTTGAGGATTTGATCGGTGTGTTGGCTTCCTGTACACTTGAGTTTCCGGCATTTGTCCTACTGGCTGATGATATCACCTAGAAAGATGATGAAGGCTACACAGTTAAACAACCCAGCTCAGAGAATACAATACAACCAAGACCATCCACTTATGCTTTTTCAAGCGTGTTATTCATTTGGCTTAGACAGCTAACTTTCAGTTTGTAGGTCACATCTTCGGAATCTCGCTTCACTTATTATTGAGATTTCAGAAACCAGAGATGTTAGTAATTAAAAGCCTGACACTATAGAATATAAGTTTTTAATGTCTGTTACACATATCTCCTGTATGTGAGGTTGTGTTGAGTCGTGTTGCCTTTTTCGTGTAATCAACTTTCGATTCATTTTCAAGCGCATATTTTCACTCAGCTATATGTATGTATTATTTTAATTTAGATGTTAGGTCGTACAGATGGTGTTCCTGTTGATTGGATTCCAGAAGATTGTATTGGTAATTGGTGGCGACCAAATTTTGAACCACCACGTTATCCATATATTCCTGCGCATGTGACTAAACCGAAAGAGCATACACGCTTATTTTTAATTCAACTACCTGAGAAAACACTGTTTTCTGTACCATCTAATTATAAATTGGTTGCAGCTCCATTATTCGAGTTGTTTGATAATGCTCGAGCATATGGTCCAATTATTTCATCCTTGCCTCAGGTGTTAAGCCGGTAAGTCATATATATATACTTTGAATTGTTGGGAAACTACCGGTTTAATAATCCATCTCGGTTTTCTTACAGGCTGGAACACGAAATTCTACATTCGTCTATTTATCTTAGAACCAAACAGCCATGGACTTAATTGAGTTGTGGCTCATTGGCTTGAGGAGTCCGACTTTCAACCAATGGGTCACGGGTTCGAACCCCGCCCAACCTACAGAGGTTTGGGCAGTCAGGTAGTATCACTAGCTCTCACAAAAAGTTGTAGCTTATTACCAGTTGCATATGTTTGCTGAGTGCTTTTGGATACTACTGAACAACGTGAGTAGTTAGAAGCCACTCAGGTTGATCTGTAGATTTCGTCGGGCAGCCAAAATCAGAGTGAAGCAAACAACAGACGACCGTTTCGCTCGTTTGCGGCCGAGCTCATCAGGCTTGTATTCTAACAAATCCAGCTGACCTGTAGTTGTATATTTCGCTAGTGTATAATACTTTTATGTCAGAGATCATACCTCGTGATCTTGGCTGATGAGTGGTTCCCAGTGGAAATCCTGTTGACACTGGAGTTAAACAGTTGAGAAAAAACTATTCAACTGTAAGAAATGTCAACTATAACTGTTCGGTTTGTTAATCATTTGCAGATTGATCACCCTGTACGCATATTAAATAATTGCTTCGAATAATGGTAACTTGTTCATGCTAAAAGTGTGACCTGTGGACCGTACCGTTGGTTCTTTGTGATGTGCGTGCATATATAATGTGATTGTTCAAGGGTTGTATGCGTATAATGGAAGCTAAGAATACCCTTAGCTGCGTAACAACCACCATACGTGTAGCTACTACCTCTTTACTTCAGGATTTTTCAAGCGGTTCGACAAAAAAAACAATATAGTATTTCAAATTACACTTTAGCAATGTAGTATTCCATTAACTGGTCACCAGTTAGCAACCGTTTTCATGTTGTTTGGTTCTAATTATTTGACTGAATTTTATCGATCATTTTGCAATATGGCCACCAAGGTAGGAGGCTCACTAAAGCAGTCGACTTTGGTAGATGTTAGTTGGTTGGAGGCAATCTGCAGGCAAGCGTATCTGCAACCTCAAGGAAAGTGATGTTCCCTCTAGGATTCAGACTTACGTCACTGTGTTGCAGCCAGCAACGTTACTACTGAACTGTGTGCGTCGCCATCTACCTCTTGTAAGACGGTTACATACATTGATTGGTCAGTGGAGTGAAGTCAATTTCACCTTATCTCTAGTCCTGAGGACTGACCAGATTCTCTCCATCATGTTTGCAATGTAGCCGCCAAGCCAGCAGACTGACTAGCATGGTGCACACTTTGATACATGTTAGTTGATTGAAGAGTATTTGGGTCTGAATAGCTCAGTGGTAAAGCCGCTGACTGCAACACTGGTTGACGCAGATTTGAATCTCGGAGGAGACGTCAGTCACCTTGGGGTTGCAGATAAGCCTTACTGACAAGTGCCAACAAGTACAAAATCTAGGCCAAACAAGGTTTCCTGCCGATTACCTCCAACCAACTAACATCTATCAAATGTGCTACATTCTAACTCGTGACTACATTACATCAATAAGCTATAGTAGTCAACTAATGATTCTTTGTAAACACAACACCTTATGGAAGAAGAACACGGGAATTACAATGTTCTTTCTTACTTAACATACAGAAGGGTAAACTTCAAAACATATAAATCACTAAACATTCTCTATGTTCAGTTAAGGGAGCTTCTTAGCAAAATATTCACTGGTACATAAGTTGCCATCACTAATTGGTAAGTAAACTGGATGCAATTCAAGAGAGACAAAAATTATCCAGTAGATTGTTGAGGTAGGTAGAGTGTATTAGAGTCCAAGTGGAATCATCAGTTAGTAGTTGTGTTATGATGCAGAGTTGTGAAAACGAACGGAAATACCTGACGGTTAGTAGTCGACGATTGAGACAATGCAACCGTAGTGATTCGCAAAGAGAAATCAAAAGACTGGAAACCAGATGAGTTTATAGTATCTCAGACTGAAAACGTTTATGGGTGAAAACAGTAACCTTGAAAGACAAGAGATAATTAGTACATTTAAAGAGGCAGGAGCCAATCAGAACAATAGCGGGTCATATGAAATATGACCCTTGTGCAGGAAAAGAGCGCGAATAACCCAGTTCAAATATATGAAACTGTAAGTATGAAATATAAAGGATGTAAGCATCCCTAACAGGTTGTTTATCAAAAGTCTAGACGAATAAAATAGATGATATCGATCAAAATGATTGGTGTAGCAATTCAGTTGTCACTGGCATTTTTAATTATTTTCATTGTTATCAATATCGATCTAGAAGATACGATGTATTGTCTTAAAACCGGTGAACTCACTTTCAAACTCTAAACAAACCTATCGACAAAATAGATCTTGACGATTTGAGATGTCCATGATGTCCATCAACTTTATGTTGAAAAGATTTAGTTAGTTGAATTTCTAACAAAATGTTCAATTACATCATTAAATTCAAGAATATAACCATACCATATCGATGAAGCATTTCAAAGTGAGTCCAAAGAGTATATGCCTTCCTAAGCTAATAAGATTAGAAATCGTGGCGAATATCTATGGCCTACGATGTGGATGTTCAGAATGAGATGTTCTCTGGACTATAATTTTAGTTGGCAAACGTCTCAATGTTGAGCTACATATCGTCATCAGAGCTTCACAAGGAAGTGGAGTAATTGTTTTGCATGAATATATATAACATGCTACTTTGTTTGACTGTGATTTGATTGGTCGCTTGGTAAGTGTGTGGTCGTATGTCGAACGGGATTGGTAGATTTCCTATGTCTAGTTTTCTTAGAGGGAAATGTTTACAACTACGTGATTGCTTGCTTCCTTCTGATTGGTCAACACCTTTGTCTGACTGAAGTGGTGAGGGTTATTTCGATGTGATTGGTCGGTTTGTATATAATGGAGGTTGGATGTTTTTACACCGGTTTGTTGACTTGCTCTAATTGAAGATGGGGATTCTTTTTGTATTGATTGATGATTCCATTTTTGTTTACATCAAAGATTTTCTTGTATTTGGACCGATTGATTCCTGTAACTGATTTGTTTCGAATAGGCTTGTATATTGCGTCCATGCCGATGTATTGCCAATTGTTTTCTTGTCTGCTAGGTCTCCAAGAATTCTTTGGCTGTTTTTAAGTACTTTGAATTTGTCTCCATCGAATGTATGGTTGTAGTTTTCACAGTTTATTCAGATGAAGGACATCATATTGTAAAGTTTCACAGGCAGCTTATGCTTATCTAGGTGTTGTAATATTAATCTACCTGACTATCTGATATAGTATTATTCGGATTTATTGCAATCGATTTGTAGATAGCGTTGATCATTTCTTCGATTTGCGTTTTTTGGCTCCCATAGGATATGTTGTAGCTATTTCGTTGATGTATGTTGATATTATGATTCCAGGTGGATGCAACAATCTGGATGTTGTTTCTGAGATATATGCGAGGACAACTCTTCTGTTAATTTTTTTATAGTTGATTTCTATTCTGTTCGTTTGGAAAGATATCTTGATGAGATCCATTAGTCTGCCAAATTTCGAATACTTTTTTTTCTTTCATTCTGTCATACTTTAATGTGTATCCGGTTGTTTAAATAGCGTTGTTCCATACCTTTTCTTGTGCGATATCACATTATTGGTGTTGTAATTAAGGATCTGGTTTGTATGAGTTATTTTCCTGTACACTTGAGTTTCAAGGTATCTTTCTTCGACTTTTATCATGAATATACCCCCAAACAGTGCTAGTTGTCCATTATTTTCTTCTTTCCTTCTTAAAACACTATTCACCAGTTTTTGTGTGGATGTCAATGTTATTGTATTAAGGATACTCATAATTTCGGTTTGACAATTAGCTAGATTATTAACTTCATTCATTGTATGACTGTTTCTGCGATGATCCCTGAGATTAATGATCTAATTAGTGTTCCTACTACATGTGTCATATATATCTTCGTTGAATAGGAGGTATGTGGATAACCAAAATATCTGTTAAATCACCGAGCGACCAGCTACTTCACTTACGTGTGAAGCTTTGATGATATAGTCTAGCATAGCATTGAAACATTCGCCAACTAGAACCTTAGCTAATAATTTTCAAGTTGGTATTCATCATGGATTGATATCAATTGGAAGAACATTGGAAACCTGGGGGCACTCAACAGCTGTTTCGTCCTAGTATGGGACTCTTCAACAGTGCGCACCCACGACCCTCAGATTCCGTGGCCAGTACGGAACTAGTGCTCATTGGTGACTAGCTTCGAGAAGGGATTCCTGAAGTTCCAATGAGAATTCGTGACCAGTGGAGCAAACGTGGTGGCCGTGAGGACAAATACTCGACGATGACATTGGGTGGCGGTCGGGCTATGTCGTGAACTGACAGAAGTTAGAATTATGGACCATTGGATTCCGACCCCAGTGGCTAGCTCAATGGTAACGTGCTGGCCGCGGAACCTGAAGGTCGTGGGTGTGCACTACTGAAGAGTTCCATACTAGGATGAAACAGCTGTGCAGTGGTCTCAGGTTTCCAATGTTCCTCCAATTGATGTCAGTTCATGATGAATACCAACTTGAAAAAAATCCCTAAATCCTCTCAGTATTCACGAGTAATCAGTGTTGAAGCTGTGGATTGCCGTGTCACAGCGTCAACAATGTATTGTACATCTACTAAGAAATTCAAGTAGTGTTTGTAGTATGTTTCACCTGTACTGATAATGTATACATGGGAAAGTAAAGATGGTATCACTTTTGACGCGATATTGAGATGTAGAAAAATTGATTTTAGAAGACTTCCATATGTTGTCAATTATGCCAGTAGCAAAGGAATTCTTGGAAGATATCATACCCCCGCCCCCCGAAAATTCGACCTAGAAATACCAGAAAGTTAATTATTTCTCAACATGCCAGTCTGGAGAATGTCTCTTCATCAATTCTCAAGGTCACCA